TTCTCTAGAGGCTCTAAACTGCCGTGGACGATTAAGTGTTCAGAGAACGATCAGAACATAACCACACTCTAAATCCAGAAAAGAACATGCTAGTTAAATGTGTTGCAGAAATGCAGCAAATTGTGTAGAAACCCTCGGCAGATCATATACAGCAATGGATTAGCAGTAGGGGCATATCAATTCGTATATACCGCATCCCAAAGAGCAACTGAAATGGTTAGAAAACGTACAGAGCGGCCGTATTCCAATCCAATGGTTGTTGCTGATATTACAATTCCTGCAGCTTTGCAAACTACTTCCAGAAATGCGAATTTTGTTTTATGGGATTCAGGACCCTAATCGCATATTTATGATTGGTACAGAACAAAATCTGAACATCTGAATGTTAATGGAACTTTTAAAGTTGCGCCAGAACTATCCACGCATTGGTCAAAAACACCTGTATGCCTGTATTGTATGTACAAGACGTGTATTTTAAAAACTTTTGGAAGATAACGCTTAATCCAATAAGTGTTATCAGATTTTGAAAAAGCTATCCAAAACACGTGTTTAATGGTGTAGAAATTGTTGTGTGCTTATTTCATCTAGGACAGTCTCTGTGGAGAAGAGTACAACGATGCAATTTAACAGAGGATTATCTAAATAATGAAAATGTGCGCCAGGATACCAAAAGGCTTTTATCTTTGAGAACGATGGCCTTCGAAGAATTAGTTGAGAACTGCCCAAAGTGGACTGCTGCGAAAATACTTATATAGGACGAATTCAGCGAAATCAAAGAGGTGGCCCTTGTTTCGCAATTGCAGTCTGGAATGTTTAGAACAGAGTTGCACATGGACTTCCACGTACTAATAGTTCAGTCGAAGGTTGCCATCGTACTTTCCAATAAACTTTGAACTGTCACCATCCGTCTGTTTATAAACTCATCGATCAGTTTAAGAAAGAACAGGATCATGTTGAAATAGTACACACCTGGAAACGTAATTATGCGCAGATAATTCGAAAACTGGAAGCACTGACCGAAAATTATGACAACTCGGTTGTTATGGACTACCTCAGAGGAATTTCACGTAGTACGGAGATATAACATCACGCTGAATTTATTTTTGTGATTATTCCGAGGATTATTCTTTGGTTTTCCGGTTTTAGGTTATTTTATTTAGGGGTTCTGCATTCTGGGTTATTTTGTAAACCTATTGTAATGTTTATTCAGAGGTAAGACGTGTCCTGGGCGCCGTTCAAAAGAGGGCGCTAAAATCGCCAATTATTAAATGTAAAAATCAAAATAAACCACAATAGGGGAGCATCTACTTTAGTTTGTGTGCTTTTAATTAATCCCGATCGATCGATTGTTATTTAAGCTTAAAGCAAGTTTGAGTAACCAGCCTCCGGCGTCCCTGTAATCAGGGTACGATGACCTTAAAAATTCACTCGACTTCTGTTCCTCATAGTGAAGAAGACACTTCTTGGTTCAACTGTTCAGTGATAGCGTACGTAGAACTACAACACCTCTGTTCTCCATCGCGGAGGCGCCCCAGGTCCTATTGTTCACGTATTGTAACGTAGGGTTATTCTCATCCGTGTTACAGCTGCATTTGACATCTGGGGCTGCCATCTGATGTTCAAATAGCGTGACCATTCTGTCATTTAAAGTCGCCGACACGAACCTTTATGCCTCCTAACCCATTACTTCAAAAAGAGTGAGAGCAAGCACCGGCGGAACGTGTTGTACGTAACGTCGAAGCGTCACCTCAAAGTTAATACAACCTCCAGAAGTGTATCTGCTTTTTAGGGGAATTTGTCGAGAGAAAAAATTCCCCTATGTGATGGTTCTGTCTGTCCGTCCGACTGTTCCTTGTCTAACTCAAGAACGGGAAGAGATAGCCGGATTAAAAGTCGTGTTTTCGAATGCGAGCTGATTTAATTAGGTTCGAGCGGTGCACGAAGAATTCCCCTTTTGAAAATCGTATGCGATTCTTCGTATCTTGTTTTATATTAACGAATTTACCAAGGGGCGCAATTTTAATGCTTGGCTCTAGACGCCATTTGGGCATACCACGCCACTGGGTCTATTTTGCCAACATAAGTAAGACGCATAGGTACATAAATCCCTATATGTACAAACTGAGCCGGTATTTTGGGCTATTTTGACGAGGCTGTTTTGCGGGGTGCTTTTTTGACGGGCCACGCACGCATTATTTTACGTTCTAGACTTATGGAACAATTTGAGAAGACGTATGCGTCAGAATACGATCTAACTTCCACGTCAAATGATATGCAAAAGCTCATCCCAATCGCAAGTGAGTCCGTTATACCCTCGATTATACCCTCAGTCTCTTGGTGGCTTTGCCTAGAATGAAATACTTCTTTTTTCGAATTATACTTCAGTCAGTAACGTAAAGACTGCATCGACTACGAACGATTTCTATGCGATTTCATTGGCTTCCTACAGAAACTACTGTAGTTCGTAGATTTCGTTATAGCAGAAATCCTTTCACAATTCTGAACCTTGCTGAAGATGGCGGCTTCTACCGACTTCCCTAAAGATCAAGGGAATTTCCACCGCCATGATTTCTGCGACTGCGACCGGTTCAAATTTCGAATTCCGCATTTGATTTTAGGGTGTTGCAGAAACACTTCATCGGCTGTAACGAATTTGTGTCCGATTTATGGAGATTTCGGTGTGATTGTAAAGCAATTTCAATTTTCATTGTGTTCCTGTAAGATTCCATTTAAATTTTCACTACACCGATTGCAGAAAGCTTCTGGTTTTCTTGTGGTTTCTGCAACTGCCGTTACAATATTCGGATTCCGAAATTCTATCGATTGCACTAAAAATCAAGGGATTTCCTTCCCTATACGCCTTCTGCAACTGTGCGCGTTTCAAAATTCATATTACCAGCAGATTTCAGGGGATTATGCGGGGGATTACGTAACGAATGAATCTCCCTCGGAATCTCCTGCGAGTGATTTTTGTATCATCCTGAGGAATTTCCCGGTAAGTGCAGGCGATTTCATTGGCTGGCTACCAGCGAGAACTCGGAGATATGTCGTATATTTAGTTTAATATGCATTGGATCAATGACTGTACCTAAATATGCATTAAATAGTTCTAGCGAGGCGATCAAATCGATATCTTGGGCACCTAGAAAATGCGTTCCTCGTCCAAATAAATCCAGCAGTTCCTCTCTCTAAGAAAATCATGGCTATTGCGGCTTGTTCCGAGCGTACTAGTTGGTAGGTCTACGATAAATCATGTTGAGTTGCAAGACCTCAAAGAACCAGATGAAACAACAGCTGTGTTGCAGGTATATTAAACATCTTTCTTCAGTTATTATAAAAAATTTGAGTATCTGACAGTCTTCCAGTCATCCTCTGTATCAGCTTCAGAGTCTCCTTTACTAAAATAACGTACAAAATTGAGCCCGAGTAGGCTGTACGCTATACGATTTGCACCTATTGGACATTGGTGATTTATCTTCAAAGAATTACACAGTGTTTGATAATAGAATCAGCAGGGTTTGATAAATTAGTAAAATTCAATAACACAAACAAATCAGTTTTATTTGTTTGAATCGTTTGTGTTAAAAGAAAAAAATACTTTTACATCACAGTCGAAATTCTGATTGTTGCTTGGTCAATAACACACGAAATAAATAACTGCTTCTGGTTTTATCTTCATAGAATTACAAAACGTTTGATAAATAGAATTACTAGGGTTGATAAATTAGTAAGTACCAAACCAACTGCACGAAAAAATAAATTTTATTTGCGTTGTAGTGTTAACGAAAATAAAAGAAAATAATAAAATAAAAATGTACAAAATATTCTTCATCAATATAAACGTAGTCGCGCCCACCTACTTTAATACTTCCTTTCTTCGTTTAATATTGGGGTGCTTACTTATACGGGTTGGCTGCCTATAGAAAATAACAAATTATTATTCACAGTGTCAAATGAGCAAGACGAGATCGAAAATCAAAAGACACGAGGTTGAATATTTACTCGTCTACGTATGCAAAAGTTTAGCATTTGATGCTAATTCATTTCATTCGTAGACGCTGACAATTGCGAAAATACAGTGAGAAATTGCAAATTGCGCAACTACCTGGAATATATTTTGAAATAGAGGTTTTGTATTTATTGTTCCGAAACAGAGCAGTTTTTTTCAATAATGAATGGGCCGAAACTAAAATGAAAGTCTGGTGGTAGTGGAATTCTAATGCGTAGAGAAGATAATTGCACTCGGAACTAAATATGGAGCTCGGTGTTTACGTATAAACAGGTCATCGTTAGATACAAATCAAGGAAGTTTGCTTATTTTTCCAATGACTGGAGCTTTGGCAGCTTCATCAATTAGACAAGTAAAAACGTGTATCGACAGATTTAAATTGTCACAATGCCAATTGTAGGGAAAAATGTGAGGTCGTTAAAGATGACCGATTTTTATACGTGACCGGATCTTAAAACAGGAGCTCGCAACCCTCTAATACCGTAGGAAGTGACGTAATGCATTAGTAGAACGTCGTAATACCAGAATGACATTAGATTTACGACTTATCAACTTTGTTCGCTCGGTTGCTCACGATTCTCTTTTAAGAATCGTTTTTTTCTCGTCATGGACGTTGCCCGCAAAGGAACTGTCAGTTGAACGAACAACGTAGTTGGAATAAAAACTATTATAATGCTTTAAATTGACATCCTGCGAGCGGCGGGGCGGCAAGCTAGCCCTAATTTGGTCATAATCAATCAGGATTAGATTGCGAACTGCTGCTATTCTAATGAGTTCAAGAATATACCAAAAGCATCCGACGATGTGCATTCCAGATAAAAATATCTCCCATCCACTTAGGTTGCCCATGAGAACGAAGAGGTTTGTTTACACTGCCACTCCGATTTATTTACTCCCGAAATTTCGACACTTTTTTACGCGACGCGCACAATTAACGCACCTGCAGCACCTCTCAAAACATGCGAACGCAAATATTTGATCACGTGCTTACCTGGACTAGTTTGCCAGCTGAGGCCACCGATAAACATTTTTCTGTAACAAAAACAGAAAATTTGTTGTAGCATTGGGGGAGTAAGTGGAGACCACGAGGGTAGGTTATGAGCGTGACATGGCGCGTGATTTAACCGGGTAATATCGGCATCTGCGTGACAGCCTTAGAAAAACTATTAAAAAACACCACTTTAATTCACCGAACGGCAAATACCGAATATTTCCAACAGTTAAGGGGGTACTCTGTGTGAGGTCAAACCTACCCTGGATCGTTTGGAACTTCAGCCGGGGAACCACTAGCTACAATCTCCTGGTTTTGAGGCTCCATAACAAACTCTATGATAGATCTCGAACTACGACTAAACTAAAGGTAAATAGAGACCGGGATGGATTAGCGGGCTCCCGGTTTTGTTCGTTCTGCCACACTATCAACACGATACTGACGAGTATAGACGTAGAGGAGCAGAGTACGTGGTCGGTCCTGTTCGACTAACGTCGCCGTAGAGGAGCACGACTGCGCTAACTACCCTGATGGAAGAGACAAAACAATCGCTGTGATTGGATGCAATCCGTGCATCATCAGTGCGACGACTGTGACGCAAAAATCCTTTACTGCGCTATGCACGATAATACGCGTATCGAAACTTTGCATAACGTAAGACGAATATAGGCCACTATGTCAATTTTAAATTTGGACTGGCACTCTTCATTAACTCCTTACGCACACGACCTCCTCCCCCACTGCGACGACACTACCGGACGCGCCAATAAATGTATTAAATTCACCGCCGCCTTTGACGCTCGCGCTCCGTTATTTTTTTATGCTTTTCCCAATTTCCGTACGCGACTGATCCGTTTAATCAATGATGGCGCTAGTTTTTAACGACGCCTGCCGCCGTAAAACGCGCCAATTTAAAATTCTGATATTTCGCGCATTTTTTGCGATCGACCGTGATGCCTTAAATGGAAAAATAGGCTCCAGAAATAGATCACTCCCGACGTAGTGAGGTAATCGTGTCGATAGATGACTCTCTTAAGCTATATCTTCTTATCCTCAATGTATGAAGTAAATACACTTAATTTCACTCAATAATCAAATTAATGTAAGATCATTTCTGTATTATGACTGTCTCTGCCGTCGGCGTCGTCGAATAGGCCTGAAGAAAAAGGGATTCATTTCGTCAAACATTTTATTCTTATTCAATCGTGTTATTATCTTCTTTAGTTGAACTCACAGCACAGTCCTACCTCACCAACTTACTACTAGGGTGATTATTTAGTATAACAGCCCCCTCCTGCCAACTTTAAGAACAAACAAAAACCTCTTAGCCAAGCAGGTTTAAGTATTTCTACTTTTCACAGGATCGGTGGTTTTGAAGGATTTTTTACCATATTCGGTTTTTTCAGTATCTAGTATCATTTACTGGTATTTGCACCTCTTGAATATTCGTATAACTTTCATCAATAACAGAATTACTATGCTTAATTTCCTTATAGGATGCACATGCACACTAACTTCTCCCGATTTCTTCTACAAATTTGATTGTCTACATTTACATTGTACTAATATGAAAGAGGCTCCTCGGCCGATTATATATCCCTACTTCTATCTACGAAAATCTATTACCCATACAGAGTTCTTTGGTTTGATCTATTTGATTATAATTTATTTCAAGTCTCTCCATTCGCTTTTCCTCTCTTAAACAGGGAGCTGGTAGGTATCTACACATTCCTCAAGCTTTACTAGGAAGTACCTACTAGGAAGGTGTATTCTTAATTTTCTTTTCATTAGCAATTCATATGGATCAAAATCACAGTCAGTAATAAAGCGGCCCCTACACGATCAATATTTACGTCAATATGTTGTACAATATTTTGTGCAATGGCCGTGGTATTGTTCAATAATTAGTTCGCGAGTGATACTTGTGCACTATGTGCAGTCAAGATGTGGAATAATAAGAAGAAGCGCGAGTGGATAATAATAATAGTATTTTTTGTACTCCGTGGACTAAATCAACGTGTTTTGTCATTCATTTAAGGGACTAAAGTGCAATTTTTTCTCCCGGAGGCAGAAAAACGCGACGCGGTACAAAAAGTGACAGTACACACTGAATTGTCAAACACAATTTAATGATTAATGGTGACCTGTATTGTACATATTTATTCTTGCATCATATTTTACACTTATTATACCGTTTTCCATATATCTTTTTGAATTTGGAAGGCGGTAGGTTTCCTTATAGTTTGTTCTTCAGAGTTTTAAACGATCATTTGAACGCCGTAGTTTTAAACTAGAATCTTTAAATCAAACTGACATTTATCGTTATACGGTCACAATTTGACATTACCAGGTATATTGATTCTACAATCAATCAAATTTTTTCTTTCAAATTTGCACTTTAACATTGAAATTGCCGTAGCTGATTACCGGAGTACAAAAAATAGCGTATATACCACAAGACTAAAGTGCGTCCTAATCCCTCGGGTGCTTGTTGCCGTCAGCTACGTTTCGGGCAACCATCTGCACCCTCGGGATTAAAACACACACTTTAGTTCCTCAGTATATAATATACTATTTCTTGAATTTCGATTTCGCTACCTTTATTATAGCATCTTCGCACCTTTGCTTTAATATAAGTACATATGAATTCTTGTTTGTTGTGTATTCGAATTCGAAACATAATCATTAATCAACCACAACCACGATCATTCGAATTCGATGTTTAATTGTATTTCTTATTTTAACTAATTTGACAGTAAGATAATAATGTAACCCAACAAACAAGAATTCATATGCACTTATATTACAGCAAAGGTCCGAAGATGCTATAATAAAGGTAGCGAAATCGATAACCTCAAGAAAAAACTTTAATTACTTATTTCATACCTATCAATCCAATTTAATTGGAAACAGAAAAATAAAGAATTACTTGGTAATGGGAAACAATACATAAATAACTTTATATGAAATACAAAATGTATGGAAAAAAAATAAATAAACAAATAATTATATATAAAATATAAATAATATAAATATATAATTATATATAATTGTATATAAAATTGAACTCAACTCAAACGTTTGCCTACCAAAAACAATGTTACGGAGTGCCTTCTTTAATTTCCCGAAGGGTATGTTTTTAAAAATATTGCTTACAGCGTTATATTTTTTAGAAATATTGTATGAAAATGATCTTTCATATAATGCCGTTTTATGAATTGGTGGTATAATTAACTTAACGAATCTAGGGTTATAAATTGTAATTTTGTTATATAAATAAACAGGTTCATTTATTGTTACCACTTTATGGTATAAGACCATGTCATGCACATATCTATGATTTTTCATATTTAGCAATCCGGTTTTTTTTTAATTTGTTTGATATATGATAATGCTTTCTTATTCCATAATTAGTCTCAAACAGGAATTTTGAATTTTTTTGATTCTATTGGAATCATAAGTATCCAAACATGGTCCGTACACACACAATACACAAACTCAGAAACTGTAACAGGACAAGTGAGTTACAAAACGAAATTTTCATTTGTTGATTAAGTACAGAACGTTGATTAAAAATTAATTTTAAATTTGAGTACGCTTTTCTTATCCTATTTGAAACATGTGATTTAAATCTCAACTTGAAATCAATTTCTAACCCAAGAACTTTCACATCATCTTTAATTGGTAGAATTTCATCGCCCACTTTTGTAATTATATCATCTTTCCAGACCTCTCTTTCTTTTGCTCCTCCAAAGATGATTACAGAGGATTTTAATGGGTTTATTTTTAAGTTAAGTTGTAACAAGTCGTTGAGGCAGTGGCGTAGCGAAGGGGGGTGGAGGGGCGGTCCGCCCCGGGCGCCACTTTAGTAGGGGCGGCAGCGTCACACCTGCCAATAATATTCTGGAGTGCTTTTGAAAATAGCCAAAAGTGATTTTGTAAGCAACGACGATGACCATCGACTGACTTGAAGATTGTTTAACTGACAGAAACTGAGGCGCAAATACATGACGAAGAGAGAGAAGGTATAACCCAGAGATGGGGAAATAGCGGCCCGCACCATGGTTCGATTCGGCCCGCTGGAATCTATATTCGTAAAAACAAATTTATGAACAGAATGACTGAGGAACATCTTGAGAGCGGTTTGCGAATTTCTTCCACTTATTTGGGGCCAAATTTCGATGCACTAACTATTCATTTGTCATAGTAACCCAGGACATCGAAACAATAATTTTCGTCTGCTGATTTTTTGTTACTTACAATAAGTCCTCTTTGTGAAAAGATACCCTGTTTTCCGGCTATTTATTTATTTATTGTAGGGTGTGTTGTCCATCTGGTACATGGTTCATATAGAAAGCTTAAAGATATAATGTCAAGAGCCCCCCCCCCCACCCCGCCAAACAAGCGTTCGCTCTAAAAGTACTGAAATCCAGAATAAAATCAGACATTTTTTCATAAACGATAGGGAACTCAAAATGTTCACCAGCTCCTAAAGTATAGGGCGGAGGGTGGGAGTGTATATAATGAACAAAAGAGGTCCCAACACCGACCCTTGTGGAACGTCCATTACTACAGGTGTTGGATAAAGGATTGGTTTAAAGAAAGAAATAGTACACCCACTTACTTTTGATATTCCACAACGCAGGTAAGCTCCGATACACCTCGATACATTCTAAAATGAACTTTTTTTCTTCGTCTTTTCCCTTTGTAGTCATGGTCGATGTATACTGTTTATCAAGGACGAGAAGTGAATTTTCAGTGACAAGTCGGAAGTTTTACGTACCAGGCGTCTTTGGGCGCCGAGTTTTATAAGTATAATAAATGTTTTTTTTTAAATATATTAACTTTCGAAAACTGTATGCGCCCCTTCCTAGAACAAATTCTAAATCCGCCCCTGCAACCCCCCTATTGTTTAACAAGCCGATTAACTGTAGCATTCCCATATAGTTTTAGTTGCATTGGTCACGTTGGCTGGATATTTTCATTTTTTATAAGCGGATTATGGTGTATTTTGTGTTTCTATTTTAGCGCATTTTTTGAAAAAATACGCTAATTTATTCGTTATGGGCTATGGCTGGCAAGGCCGGCTGTCCGCGTGAGATCTCAACAACTAAAATAGCTAGAGAATTCAAATTTTCACTAAAAGTTTTCCGTGCTCATAGTAACAGGTATTACGAGTGCTCATAGTGATAAGAGTTTCAGTTCTGTTAGCAGTAAACCAACACCCGTATTTTATACAAAGACGAGTACAAAGATAAGTCGTATTGATTAGATTCCTCTTATTATTATTTTGCAGTAGATTAGTTAAGCAAAGGTTTCCACGGCGCACTGGTGTGCACGTGGGAGCCCGTATCGGCTCGATTGCGAGTTGTTTATTACTACACGCTTTTGATTTTCTGACATGGAGAATCAAGCTAAACAGTCCCGTACAATTGTGTCCGAAATTATGATTGCTTCTAGCCAAGGAGGCAATCAAGTAAATGCTCAATTAGGCAACTCTGAAAACTTGTCAAATGAACATATTGAACGCGATATGCAATCCTTTGCATCCGTCGTTAAGGAAAAGAATCGTTATGTATTTCCTAGCAGAGAACAAGGAATTCTATTCCCAGCAATAGATCGGTTATCCAAAAATGATTATGTAATTTCTGTGGGGACCCTGGTGGGGCCCAAAAATGTGATTTACGCATCTAGGGTATCTAACTCGAGAGTGTGCATATGTTTAAGCAGTAAGACACTTGTTGACGACTTTATTGCTAATCATAAAGGCATTACAGTAGGTAATGTTTTTATTCCCGCACGTAGATTGGTTTTAC